TCCAACTGGGTGACCTCCAGGGCTTCCTGGGAGTTGAACCCAGGAATATAACGCGTGCCCTGCCAGGCCGAGCATACACATTGATGTAGTCACCCCAGCTCTGACCCTTGTGCCGTCTCTGCTCCCCGTGTGACCCTGGTGAGTCACCTCTCCAGGCCTCGGTTTCTCCAGTTGTAAACAGAGATGAGTGAAGTGACTTTGTTGGTGAGAGGACCAGGGACTTAGCCCCTCTTCTCTGGTTGCCGCAGTGTGGGGCCCAGTAAGGAACGTCTGGGGTCAGAGAGGCTGGGCTTAATGTTCTGTTCTGCCCGTTGTTAGCTGTGGGACCCTGAGCAGGTCACTTAACCCTTCAGAGTGTCTGTGTTCTCATCTGCAAAATGGGCCATAAACACGCCTGGAGCAGAGCTGGCCTGGCAGGATGCTGAGGGCAGCCTGGCCACCCAGGTTCTGAAGGCCCTGGGAGGTCCGAGTTACCACACCGGAAGTGGACTGCAATACTTCTTTCATTTTTCCTTTCCCTTTCTCTCTCTCTTTCTTTCTCTTTGTCTTTTTTCTTTTTTTTTCCTTCCTCCCTTCCTTTCTTTTTCTTCCTTTTCTTTCTTTCTTCCTTCTTTCTCTCTTTTTTTCTTTCTCCTTCCTCCCTACTTCCTTCTCTCTCTTTCTCTTTCTCTCTGACAGTCCCACTGTGTCACGATCCTCCTGCCTCAGCCTCCGAGTAGGGACCACAGGAATATGCCACTGTGCCCAACACATTTTAGACAGGGCCTTGCTATGTCGCCCATGCCAGCCTCGAGCCTGCTGTCCCCCTGCCTCAGCCTCCTGAGTCACCGGGACTGTAGGAAGGGGCCATCACTCTCAGCCTTTTGGTTGTACCAGAAATCGAGGCAGGCCTCCCTCGTGCTCCCAACCTGGGGGCTCAGTGTTTTAGCAGCATGCGCCATCGTGGCTGGGCAAGTGTGATCATGGGCATGGCCGATAGGCAGTACCCCAGGATGCAGGTCACACAAGGATGTCCAGTCCCACCCAAAGGGGAGGCCCAGGACTCTACCACCACCAGCAGGGGGAGCCGTTGTCTGGGCAGGGCTGTATTTAAACTGGGTTTCCTCACGCTCCAGGGCCTGGTGCTCAGGGTGGGTTTGTGGGTGTGGCCAGGAGGCATGATGCTCCCACCTGGAGTTCCCTAATTCTGGACTGGGGCAGCCATGCAGAAGAGAAGCTGAGTGGGGTGAAGATGGGGCTGGCGAGGAACCCAGAACAGGGTTTCCCAGGCCCTGTGTGTGACTTCCACGAAGGCTCCTCCAAATCAGTTCACCTTAGACCTTCTCAAACTTCAAGACAGGTGAGTAGGAACCGCCTGTGAGTGGTGGGAGGGGACTTAAAATGTGGATTTGGAGTCAGCAGGGCTGGAGTGGGGCCCAAGACGCTACATTTCTTTTTAAAAAAATTGGATGTAGGGTATGTGCACTCACTGGAAAGAGATATGGAGAGAGAGAGAGAGATAGAGAGAGAGAGAGGGGGAAAGTGAAGAGCGCCTCCCATGGGGGATGGTCATGCTGCAATCCCTTCTCCTCCTTTTCTCCTTTGGGATTTTGGGCATGTACTCACACATGCCCAGAGTGTTTTCCAGGCTGCCATATCTGGGACTCAAAAAGTGTAGTCAGCCATGTGGGATCCAGTGCCCTAACTACCATGCCACCGCTGGGCCCCACTGCTGATTTCTAACAAGCTCCAGGAAAGGCTGCTGGGCCCAGGCCCCTGAGCACTGAGGGCTTCTCCTTGTCTCTCCTGTGGGCCCAGCTTTTGAGAAATCAGGAAAAGAAGTCCAGTGCCAGCTGGAAATGAAGATAAAGTCATACAGGTATTATGGGAGGGTTCCTGGACACACAAGAAAGTGGGGTACCCTGCCAGGGTCACAGTGAACTTCAGGGCAAGCTCTCTGGAGGAGGGGGCTTAAGGAATTCAAGGACTTGTTGTAGGGATCCAAGAAATGAGTGGTTCTCTGTTTTTTCCTGCAAATGGGAGTGCCAGGAGGAGACGGCCATGGTAGTAAAGTGTTTCTTCACCCCAGGCCACAAGACCACCCACAATACATGGAAGCCTGGTGAACGTGGCCAGAAGAAGCTCTAATGGACCCACGGGCCAAGACCACAGGAAGAACTGGTGGGTAGCATTGGGTGTCATCAGGAAGGGGTGAGATGGGGGTCCCGAAGCCACCATTTGTGGCCAGTCCTTTTCAGGAAACCAATAATAAATGAGTTAATTGTACACTAAGTGAGGAGCCTGCACTTCTACAGGGAGACTGATGAAGAGCTCCCCCATATGATTTTGTGGGTTCCTTCTAACACATAGGAAGTTTCTGTCTGTGTACATACTCTCTCTCTCTCTCTCTCTCTCTAAGTGAAAATGCATGCCACAGAGGGATAGTCACACCACAATCCCCTCTCCTTCATTCTCCTCTCCTGATTTTTAGCACACACACACACATGCACACATGCACCTGGCATGATTTTCAAGCCACGAGGCCAATGCTCAGATTGTGCAGTCGGCCATGTGAGATCCAGCGTTGTAACCATCACACCACCTGTTGGCCGCCTACGTGCGATTTTGAGATACAGTTTTTCCCTGACATCCTAACACCTCTGAGCTCAGTCTTATCATACATGCTGTGGCCTCCATCGACATGGGCTTCCTTAAGAGAGAATCTGCACCTGCAGTGCGGACACCCGGAAGACCTCCATCTGAGACCACCTGAACATGCATGGCCTTTGTGCTGGAGGTATTTTGACCCATGCTGTGTGTATTCAGCCCCAAACACGGGTGAGCACTAGCCTGCAGTTCCAACTCTCCAAGGAGATTCCCCTCCACTCAGTGCCAAGTTTGATTCATGCATGTTTCCGCCATGTCTCCTTCTGCATAACAGGTTTACCCTGTGTCGACCCTTCCTTTGGGGGTCTAGCTGTTTGGTCTCCTAGCTTTTTGTTGGGATCTCCTAGTGAACTCCCTATGTTGGGCATTTTTCTTTCTTAGTGAATATCCGGTGCATCTCAGAGTTGAGAACATTTCGGAGTTGATGAAGTCACTTGTGAAACCAGAATGATCGACTTCACCGTTCCAAATTGAGTCACAGCTTTTATTTTTCTGCATAACACTGTCATCTTCCATGTGTCCAGTTTTCCTAGCAGTTCAGCATCTCTCCCTCGAGATAGCCTTTTCCTGGCGTAAACTGACAGACTCAAGGGATCTCTGTGTCTAAAGGTGTTAGCCTGTCTCTAACCCCCAGGACAGAGCCTGGCTGGGCCCCTCCTACTGCTGTCATACTGTGTGGCTGTTGGGAAGACGCCGATGCAGCTTTGTGAAGGCTTCCCCACTGCTAAGGGATGCCCTTGCTGGGTCAGCCCCCACACCGGCCAGACCGATGCCCCACATTGAGATTTCCAAGTGAGCAGCCTCTTCAGTTCACTTAGATATGCTCAAGCCAGATGGCTGAGGTCTTCACGGACATCCACTCAAACACACTTTGGACCCAACCCGGGCTGTATCATCGGTTCCAGGCCTGTGTTGAATGCAGGTCTAGACCTTCCTTCACTATGGGTCGGTGGTGTGGCCCCTTTCCTGATAGTAGACCTCAGTCAAGAGAATTCCAACCCATCAGAGAGGACCCCAAAACTCTGGGTACTAAGGATCCCATCTCTTTCCTGTGCAGAGGCCCCAGTGCATGTCTTTTCCTAACTTCCTTCCAGGAAGATCTACATAACCCAGGGACGCCATTCAAGGAGTAGCTGCCTTATAAATGAAGATCTCCCCCAGGCCATGTGTTACAACAGCTAATCCAGGAAAGTCCTCGCAACTTCCCTTGCTGAAAACACCCTGGGTCATAGAACCTTATGACATCAATGACTTACTGCTTTCTGTTCCAGTTTCCTCCCACCTTGCAAAGAATGACATACAACCCTTCTCCTGGCAGTGCTGGGGGAGCATTTCCTGGAGAGCAGTTGGTGAGTTTCCCATTCCTATAGTTGGGCTTATGTGCCTAGGGAAGAACTTAAGTATCAAGACAAGGGGTGGGACCATTTGTAAGCAATGCTGAAGTGGGAGGCGCAGAGAGAAAGGCTCAGGGTGGCTGGAGAGCACCATCTGCAGGACTGGCTTAGCTATGATGTGCAATGACAGCCTCTCCCATTTCCCAGGACATCTGTCCCATCCATACTACTCTCCAGTTTTGGCAGCTGGGTTTATGGTCTTGAGATGAAGTGGTCCTGGCATCCAGGGGACAAGAGACACAGCAAAGGTCTCCAGGGAATGCTTGGAGCACTTCTGTTTAATACAGATGGGAGGGACCGGGTAGTGGCATGGCAGTGGCACAGCTGGACCCCATAACAAAGGTTCTGGGTTCCAGACCTAGTACCTCCCTGAGTATAGGATGTGCATGGGATCCAGGCAGGCTGGGACTGGGGATGGATTGCTGTGTAGGGAGCTTGCTGGGGAGGTCCTGTTTCTCTCATGGAAGAGATAAATGAGTGTATATACACACACACACACACACACACACACACATTCTAATCAATATATATATTCACTCTAATATATATATTTATTCTAATATATTAGAATGTGTGTGTATATGTGTGTATATATATACACACACTTTTTTTAAACAGGTTTTTGCTATAGGGCACATGCGCTCGCCAGACAGAGAGACAGAGAGATAGAAAGCGAGAAATCACCCCCCAGGAGGGATGGCCACTCCGCAATCCCTTCTCCTCCATTCTCCTCTTGGGATTTTGGGCACACACGCACACGTGCCCTGCTTGATTTTAAGCCACCGGGTCTGTGACTCGAACTGCGGTCGACTACGTGGGAGTCCAGCGACATAGCCATTACACTAACTGCTGGTCCCATACCCACACTTTTTTTCAGGGGGACCAGAGGAAAGGCTTGCCCAAAGTCACCTAGCAAGGGCTCTTTCCATTACAAATGAACGAGGAACAGGCCGAGCCATGGTAACCCCACATCTCCAGCTTTCCTAGGAAGGTACCAAGTGGCTGGCTCAGTGTAGGTATTCCCGGACCGTGAGTTCCTTCAGGGTGAAACCCCGGGGGCTGGGCTTCCGCAGCTGGCTCTCCTCCAGTCTCCGCTGCAGCGACACGAAGTCCTTGCCCAGCGCGTAGGCCAGGCGGATCATGGCGTCCAGCAGGGGTGCGTAGTAGCGATGGCCCTCCCGGGCCTGCAGGCACTGCAGCGCCCTCTCGCCGGCGGCGAAGGCGGCGGCAGGGCACTCGTGGTCGCGGTGGCACACCAGCATGGCGCAGAGGGTCGGGACCACGGCGGTGGGGCAGTGCGCGGTCAGCTTCTCCTGCAGGGGCACCACGCGCAGCAGGGTGTCCAGGGCCTTGGCGTACTGGCCGGCGCGCAGGCAGCCGAAGGCCTCCCGGAGCTCGGGCCGCGTGAGGAAGTCGATGAACTCGCGCGAGCGGCGCACGCAGCGGATGGCGTAGAGCAGGCGCAGGTACTCCCCGAAGGCCAGCTTGCGCTCGCGGATCATCTCCTCCGTGAAGTTCCCGGTCAGGTGCTTCCGGGGGAAGACCACGTCTTCGATCTCCTCCCTGAACGTCTTCAGGAGGCTTTTCTGGAGCTTCTCGAAGTCGGAATAGCGCCGTTCCAGGATAGCTTTGTTACTGTCAAAACTCCCCGTCTGGATGACGACGATTTGGTACATCTAGGGTGCAAAGAGAGAGCGAGCCTGTGACTCCGTCCTGCTGGAAGACGTTACGGATAGGGCCGGCAAATACAAGCAATCGCGGTGACCATTGAAAGCATACCCTGACATGGGTCAGCCTTGTATCTTATTCTGTGTTAAATCACAGTCGCCTTGGGCTGAGCTATGGAAGCGAATCATGACACGAGTCAACTCCGGGAATCACAAATAACAGTTATGCCAAGGCCCCTTGGAGGAGAAGGGACAGAGGAGCCAGCCTGGCAGGGGGCTGGAGGCTTTCTGCTGTCAAAACTGGGCCTCAGTTTTCTGAACGGGGAATGCTTGCATTTGCTCCGTTTTCCAGGTGTGGAACATCTGGGAGGTGGTTTTAGGTACTGTGTAACAGCGTGGAAGTCCACTGGCAGTGAGGTAAGACATTATAATAAGATGATTCCTTTTTCATGGTTTCTCAAGAGAAGACTGATTAAGCGCACCACCTCCAGAGCCAGATTGCCAGGTTTAGCTGCGTGGTTTTTAAATGGGTATTTAACCTCTCAGAGCCTCAGGTCTTTTCATCCGTAACGGGAAGATAGGAATGGCACCTGCCTCGCTGGGTGAGGATTAAATGAGTGAATGCAGAGAAGCCACGTGAAAACGGTGCCCAGGCTGCTACTCAGTGATAGCGTGGCTATTATTATTATCCTGTGCCAAGCGAGAGAAGAAGAGGTTTGAGCGTGGCTCTGACAGTCCCTACATCTCCTAACACAGGCTGAAACTCCAGTCAAAGGGAGGAGCCCCAGCACAGAGCTTTCTCCAGCCTAGTAACTAGCTAGAATTTAACAATTAGTGCTTAGTTTTCCTGCTATTTACTTTGATAATTACTTTTTCTTTCTTTCTGGAGAGGTTTTTGCTATAGGGCATGTGCGCTTACCAGAAAGACAGAGAGAGACAGAGAGGCAGAAAGCAAGAAATCACCCTCCAGGGGAGATGGCCACGCCGCAATCCCTTCTCCTCCATTCTCTTCTCAGGATCTTGGGCACACATGCACACGCGCCTGGCGTGAGTTTAAACCACCGGGTCCGGGACTTGAACTGCGGTCGACTACATGGGAGTCCAGCAACATAGCCATTACGCCAACTGCTGGTCCCATACTTTTTCTTTATGCCACGTGCTACTGGGTTTTCACTTAAAATCGTTTTCTTTGAAATAAGAAATAGTTTTTTAAATAGTTTTCTTTAAAATAAGGAAACTATTTTAAAAAGTGATTCAGGGGACAGCAGGCATGTGGAGGTTAAGGTGTTGGATCCCACATGGCCAACTGTACAGTTCAAATCCAGGACCCAGAGACTTGAAAATCATGTGTATGTTGGGACTAGCAGATGGTGTAAAGGTTACATTGTTGGATTCCCACATAGTCGACTGCAGTTCTAATCCTGAACCCGGTGGCTTAAAACTCACACTGGGCATATATGGGTACATGCCCAAAATCCCAAGAGGAGAATGAAGGAGAAGGGACTGTAGCATGGGCAGCCCCCCCACCCCAGGGGGGTGATTGTTTGCTTTCTCTCTCTGTCTGCCCCCCCACCCCGGGGGGGTGATTGTTTGCTTTCTCTCTCTGTCTCTCTCTGGAAGTACACTTGCCCTATAGCAACAGTCTCTCTAAAAAAGAAAAGAGAAGAAAATCATGTGTATGCATGCCCCAGATCCTGAGAGGAGACTGGAGGAGAAGGGATTACGGCATCATTATCCTCTCTGGGGTGTGGGGGGGTGACTTACTTTCCCTCCATCTCTCTTGCCTTTTGTCTCTCTGGTGAGCGCACTTGTGCTATAGCAAAAAGTGATTCAGAACCTGCTGGGGCTGGTGGTTAAGGCAGCTGGATACTACATCCTACATGGGCAACTGCATGGTTCGAGTCCTGGACCCTGCAGCTTGAAAAACATGCCAGGCATGTGTGCATACATGCCCAAAATCCTAAGAGGAGACTAGAAGAGACTGTGGCATGTGTAACTCTCCTAGTGGGTGATTTCTCTGTCTCTCTGTCTTTCTCTCTGGTGAGCTCACACACCTTGTAGAAAAATTTAAAAACGTGATTCAATTGAAAGAAAAAATTAAATAGTAATAAAATGGTATAGGGATATGGCGAACTTGGTGAAGAAGGGACACAGATGGTTAATGCCTCATAACGTGGGATTACTCTGGGCAATTTCCTTTGTAAGATAAGGACAGTGACTCTGTCTTTAATCCTTACAGGACCTAGGGCAGTGCTATGTGAAATCTTCCCCTTGGCCATTTTCCCAGAAGCACTCTGTGAATTAGCATGTCCATCCATTTCATGGTTGAGAAAGCTGAGGCCCCACAGGACTTGCCCAGGGCCAGGAAGGAGGCTCCATCCCTTCCCAATCTGGATTTACCACAAACTTGGAGATTTTTCTATCCTCGATGCGGGCCGAAGCGATCTCGAAGAGCAGTTTGACATGTTTCCAGTGACACTTCTCCTTCTGCCAGTATTCTTGCAGCTCCCGCGTGGTCATGCTGGAGTTGGGACTCAGGCTGCTGTGGGCATCTGGAAGGAAGGATTTACACCAGGTCTATACTCTTTAGAGGCAGGGGCCTGGAGAGATGGCTGGGTCTGTCTGGGACGGGACTTAGGAATTCCAGAAGAGTAGCAATGTCCTCTTCCTGCCACCCCACCATTTACAGGCCCAACTGGGGAATCAGCCCAACCTTGTCACCCAACTCTGCAGGACCCACCCAACCTCTGACAACCTCAAATAGCCCATCACCCCAAGAGTCTTCTTTGTTATGAAATGCAATGTGGGTATGTTGTGTCATCCACTTCCGGCCTGGAGATTGGCCATTGTGAAACCCCTGCTCCTGAAAAGCAGGGCCGATGGCTTGTTTATGTCTGTGCTCCCGACAGCACTGGCCTGTGGTTGTCAGGGGGAGTCCTTGAGCACACACCCATGGATGGCAGAGAGAGCCGTGAGGTTGCTGTTTCTAGCCTCAGCCAGGTAGGCCCCTCCTAGGCCTTTCCCCTCCTTTCCCTCCTGCTGTGCTTTTTCTTGCACAAGCCACTCCTCTGTCCTGGGTCTCAGCCTCCTATTTCCCTACCTGGAAAATGAGCACAGTGCTTCTCAAACCTCACTAGAGCTCGTACCCCTCTGGGAAGCTTGAGAATGCTTATGATCTTTTCCACTAAAACTGCGCATTTTATTGCAATTGGGTACGAGTCCCAGAAGCCCTCACTGTGTGCTTCAAGACCTAGCCCACGTGGGGACTAGGTTAACGTAGTGGCTATGTTGCTGGACTCCCATGTAGCCGACTCTGGTTCGAGCCCCAGACCTGGTGGCTTAAAACTCACCCCGGGCACGTGTGCGTACATGCCTAAGATCCCAAGAGACTGGAGGAGAAGGGATTGCGGTGTGGCCATCCACCCTGGGGGTGATTTCTTGCTTTCTGTCTCTGTCTCTGTCTGTCTGGTGAGTGCACGCGCCCTATGGCAAAAAAAGACCTAGCCCACGCATATCTGCAGTTGCCCTTTGGTCTTAGAGTGAGAGCCTCCCACCTTGTTCCTATAGTCTTTGTTGTGGCCTTTCTAATGATTTTTCATTAGATCTGGTTTTCTTTTAAATAATTATTTGTTTAATTTAATTTAATTAATTTATTTATTTATTATTAGTCAATTTGACCAGAAAGAGACAGAGAGGGAGAGCAAGATGCCAGGTCTGTGACTTGTACCACGGTCAGCCATGTGGGAATCTGGTGCCTTACTTAACCACTACGCCACCTGCCAGCCCCAAAGAGGTTTTTATTTTATTTTATTTTTAATTTTACTTTTTATTTTTCCTTAGGCTGCATGTACTCCTTGTGGGAGACAGTGAGAGGAAAAGTGAGAAATCATGCCCAGGGGGATGACCATGCCACAATCCTTTCTCCTCCATTCTCCTCCCAGGATCTTGGGTGCACACGCACAAGTGCCCAGAGTAATTTCCAAAACACTGCACCTAGGACTCGAACCACAGTTGGCCATGTGGGAGTCCAGTCATCAGCTGGCCCCAGTTAGGTCTGTTTTTCTACCAAATGTGCCAGCATAGTGATTCATTCCTGTTTCCCCAGTGTCCTGCGATAGAGCCAGAAACAGAGCAGGCAGGCGTTAATGGGTGCGTCTTGAAGGGTTCTAAGAAGAGCTCTGTTCCAGGAGATGGTGCTATAGCCGACACTGTCAGGGCCAGGCCATGCCTCCTGGACACTCACTGTTCTGGAACATACCACTAGCTGCCTATGGAAGCAACAACGGCATACTCAGGAGCATCCTGCAGCTCATGCAGGGAAGGTCTGGCTTCCTTGCCCCTAAGATGGAACAACTCTGAGGTATGTTCCACACGGTCTCCCCTCCCAGGGAACCCAACTGGGACGCTCCAGAGCCCTGGTTACCTACAGTGGCCACCTGTCCATTGATACCCTCCACTGGCTTCCCACCCTTCCCTTCTTCACATTCCCACTCCCCTGCCATCCCTCCTGACTCCTCTCCCACATGAGCAACTGTACCACATCCTTGGTCTGTTGGGGGATACAGCAAGTTAGGAGAGCTGTATCCATCGAAGTGACCCACATCTGTAGTCTGAATGTCTCAAAGCCTCTATTCCCAGGTCACCCCCAAGCCACAAGCCCACCTAAGTGTCCTTCAGGTCCTGGACATGGGAGGTCTGAGCCGGAGGCTGGCATTTCCTGCTTGGTCCTTGCTGGGCAGCAGGTTATGGGTCCTGTCCAGCCAGGGCTTCCAGGATGCTCAGGACTTGCCATGTTCCTTGGCTGCTGGGGCATGAGAGAGAACAGTGAGTATCCACACATGCTGGGGTTCCTGCTGGATCCCGGGGTCCCTTGGGTCCATATCAATTTCCTGCAGGCAGGCAGAAGAGAATGATGATGACAGTGCTGAGCCCACTGTCGCCTGCTGGATCCTAAACCCAGGACTGTCTTTTTGCTGAGCAGATCACTCCAAGGTAGAGCAGATCCTTTGCGTTGTTATAATCCGTTTGTTACCTAGTTGCTCCACATTTTAAATGAGGTGATTTCAAGCAAAAGTAATAGTTTCAGTGGTTACTAGAGAAACAGATGCTGCCTTGTTCAGATAAATGTCTCAACTTTATGCCGTGTGTGCCGATGAACTCTGTGTTCAGGGCAGGTTAATACTGGTATGTGTCTCCTGTCTACCCCTCATCTGCCTACCTACCTATCATCCATCTGCCAATCATCTATCACCTATCAATCTATCAATCATCTGTCTATATATCATTTATTCACCTGATCAATCCATCTATCCTTTTTTTAATTTGCTACAGGGTGTGTGTGCTTGCCAGAGAGAGAGATAAAAAGTGTGTGTGTGTGTGTGTATGTGTGTATGTGTGAGAGAGAGAGAGAGAGAGAGAGAGAAAGTGAGAAAGCATCCTCCCCGGGTGGGATGGGGCTGTCCATGCCACAATTCCATGTCCTCCATTCTCCTCTTGAGATTTTGGATATTCATGTATATGGGCCCAGCATGTTTTTCAAGCTGCTCACCTGAGATTCAAACTACACCATTGGCTGTGTGGGATCCAGTTGCCTTAGCCACGATGTCATATGGCTGGCCCTAGTCTATCTATTTTTTTTTTTTAAGAGAGACTTTTGCTATAGGGCACATGCACTTACTGAAGAGACAGAGAGACAGAAATTCTCCATGGGGAATGGCCCCACTGCAATCTCTTCTCCTCCACTCTCTTCTTGGAATTTTGGGCATGCACATACATGTGCCCCGGGTGTTTCAAGTCATCAGGTCCAGGACTCGAACTGCAGTTGGCCATGTGGCCGTTCAGTGACATAACCGTTACACCATCTGCTGGCCCCCATCCACCTATCTTTAAATAAACATTTATGGCTTAGTCTATGCACTTCATGGTCTCCTTGGTTCTCCACCCTCCCTATCTGACTCAATGCCCACAGAAATGGATCATTACCACCAGATAGCAGATGAGGAAAATGGTCTAGCCCACGGTCAAGTGGCTGGTGAATGTGCCCAATGAGCAAAGCCGAATTCGTCTGAATTTCATGAGACGTGCTGGCTGTGTGCTCTGCCCTCGGAAACTCTCTCACTTGATCTGACCACTGTCTGAGATAGAGACTGCTTTATTTCTCTTTGATCTGAGACTTGGAGTTGCACAAGATCAAAAATGACTGAGCGGTGAGCAGTTCACAAATCCAGACTGGGCCAATGTTAGAATCCTCTCCACCTCACCCGGGGCAAGCTGGGAGGGCAGGAGGCAGACAAGTGGGGTCCAGTCGATGCAATAGGTTTGTTTGTAACCTAGACAGGCAAACGAGACGGTCTGGCTGTGGCATTTACTTAACGTCTCTGCATCTCAGTTTCCTATAAACGGGCATACTAACAGAACCCATCTTCATGAGACTTCAAGAGGACAAGCCAGGCAGACTTAAGGTCACAGGGACACAGGGTCAGCTCAGGGGCCTGCAAACCCTAAGTGCTGTCTACTGGTTCCTGTTGTTAGTATTTGGCACATGCTAGAGGTTTCCAAAAGTAGTTGTGAAAGAAACGGCTCTAAAGTATAAGCCAGAATAGAATTAAAAATGTGAGACGGGGTCAGCAGGTGGCATGGTGATTAAGGTACTGGACTCCTACGTGGCTGACTGCGGGTCAAGTCCTAGACCTGGTAGCTTGAAAATCATGTAGAGTGCATGTGCATGCATGCCCAAAATCCCGAGAGGAGAATGAAGGAGAAGGGATTGTGGCATGGCCATTCCCCCGGAGGGCGATTTCTCACTCTCCCTTACTCTGCCTCTCTCTGGCGAGCACACATGCCTTATGACAAAAACCTAAAAGAAAAAGCAACGTCTGAGACAAATTAGAAAAAGGGACAAGTAAAACATTTGCTCAGCCGGAGCAAGTAGCTCAGGTACCGCTTGGGCAGAGAAAACCCAGATGAGGAGGTACTGTGCCCTTACCTTCTTACCAGGACCAGGGAACACCACACAGGGAATACCTGGCAGAGCTGGGACTTGAACCCTGGGCTGTCAGACTCCAGGCCCTGGGTCTGAACCCCTAGGCTGACTGGCCTGGAGAGAGGTGAAGCCACTGCCATTCCAACATCCCCCAGTGTATCTCTTCGAGTGGCCAGAGCCCATCCCTTGCTCCAGGGCGAGAACCTCCTGGAGTCAGCCTGACCTGGGGCAGGTGTGGCGCTCTGGGGCCAGCAGCTCAGGCTTCAGGGGACAGCTCTAGCTATGTCAAGTGAAGGGACTCCTGGGTCATTTTCCAGGTAGCTCTTCACAGTTGCCCAGAGGGTGGTCCCCAGGAACCCTCGATCCAGCCTTACCTTTTACAGGTGGGCAAACTGAGGCACAGAGCAGAGGTAGGGCTGGGCCCTGCTGGAGCAGGCTATGACTTGCACACCTATCATCCCCTCTCCTGGAGTCAGGAGAAGTAACCTTCTTTCCTAATTAACCATGGGTCCTTAGGTAAGTTACTTAATATCTGTAGGCCTCAGTTTCCCCACCTAGAAAGTTTGGCCACACATCCTCTATGTCTATCATCTCTCTCTCTCTTTCTATCTATCTATCTATCTATCTATCTATCTATCTATCTATCTATCTATCTATCTATCATCTATCTACCTACCTACTTTTACCTACTTACCTATCATCTATCTATCTACCTACCTACCTATCTATCATCTATTTATCTATCTCTATCTATCATCTATCATCTATGTATCATCTGTCTTCATCTATCTATCATCTACCTGTATCTATCTATCTATCTATCTATCTATCTATCTATCTATCTATCTATCATCTCCATCTTTATCAATCATCTACCATCTATCTATAAATCATATATCTATATCTATCTATCATCTATCTATCATATCATTATCTATCATCTATCATCTATCAATCATCTCTCTATCTACCTCTCTATCAGCTATCCATCTACCTATCACCTATCTATCTATTCATCTGTCAATCATCTCTTTATCATTTACCAATCAATGTCTCTATTTATCTATCTTTTCAAATATCTATCTTTAAGTAAACACGGCTTGTTATACCCATTCATGCCCTCCTAGGTTCCTCACATCCCCGAGCTAGTGACAGAGAGCAGTTTGTCATTGCTGATATGATCATGGATGGCGAGGGATGGGTCTCTTGTGTTCTGGGAGTTGTCCAGGTAAGACAGTGGGGGGGTGACCCATACTCTCTTCTCCAATGGAATCTTGGTGGCTGGGATTTTCAGGGACCCAGTGTTTCCTGTGTTTTGTTCTAGTTTACTAGAGGCCATGTGCACTCACTAGAGAGAGATGAAGCAGAAGAGAGAGAGAAAATGAGAAGTCACCGGCCCCACCCACCCCTGAGGGATAGCCATACTGCAGTCCCTTCTTCTCCATTGTCCTCTTGCAGTTTTGGGCATACATGCGAATGTGTCCAGTGTGCTTTTAAGCTGCTGGGTCTGGGACATGAACTGCACAGTTGGCCATGTGGGATCCAGCTGTCTTAACTTCCGAGCCACCTGTTAGCTCCCTGTGTGTCCCGTCATGAACCCAGTTCAGCCATCTCATCTGTATAGTGGGTGATGACAAATGGCATTGGCCTCAAGGTCTCCGGATCCTGTGAGAGCCTAGAAATGCCTTGGATGGCCGCTCCGTAAAGATGTGGAAAGGCCATCATGAAATCGGGGTTTACGAGAGAAAATGATCAGATCTCTTAAGTTTTCTCTTACAGGATTGGCTGAGGGTCTCCCACTTATAAAGGAGTGGAAAGGAAAGAGCCTGGACTGGTTCATCCATGAGATCCTGGGCTGTTCCCATCCCTTTCAGGGCCTCAGTTTTCTCACCCATGAAATGGGAAAGCAGTCTTCTCACTCTAAATGTTCTTCAGGAACAGCCAAAGAACCCATAAATCCCAGAGGGTTCTATGAGCTCTTCCTTCCCCACACTCTCTGTAGCAATGATTTCTAGATTTGGGGCCAGCAGGCGGCATGGTGGTTAAGGTGCTGGACTTCCACATGGCTGACCATGGTTTGAGTCCTGGCCCTGGAAGCTTACTTTCTCACTTTCTCTCTCTCTGTCTCTTTCAGCTTCTCTCTGGTGAGCCCATGTGCTCTAGAGCAAATTAAATAACAATAATAAATTATATCATTATAAAAATTTAAACATATTTCTAGAACTTACAGTAATATTTTGCAGGCATTGGTGGGGTTGACTTGGTCCTGTACTTGGCCCAGAGGACAGAGCAGTGTCCCAAACCCCTCCCCCACCCAGCTTCAGGTCAGGGACAGTCATTCTCTTTCTCCTTCTCCCCAGGTACCCTGACTCTGACTGTCCCTTTGAGGGCTGTCTGCTGTGCCTGGTCCTTTTGCTGCTGGGCACATAGGGCCAGAGTTCCCACCACCTTTCTGAAGGGCTGCAGTAGACTTTTCATCGGGAATTACCCTCCAGGGGAGAGAAAGGGAGCGCCCAGGCCCGCTTCAAGAGACACAATCCCAGGTCAGTGGATGTGTGGCTGCCTCTGTTGGGGAAAGGGTGGTCACTATCAGACACCAGGGTGCTCTCCTGAGAAGTCTTGCCAAGGTGCCAGGTGGTGGTGCACACGGATACCACACTGGACTCACATGGGAGAGGTCCTGGGTTCTCATCCTGGGACTTCCCTGAGCATGTCAGGCACACACGTGCATGTCTGGCACACACGTGTGTGCCTGTGATCCTGGCTGGCTGAGACTTAGGTGGGTCATGGCCTAGAGAGCTTACGGGGTGTTGCTCTCTCTGCCTCTGTCTGTCTGTCTGTCTGTCTCATGGAATAAATAAATAAAGAAAGAAATGAAAGAAAAAAGAAGTCTTGCTAAGGGGCCCAGGTGGTGGTTCAGTGTTAGTACAACTGGACCCACATGGAAAAGATCCTGGGTTCGCCTCCCAGGAACCCCCTATACACATGAGTGCTTGTGTATGTGCCCGTGATCCAGGCTGGCTGAGACTGGAGGTGGATCTTGGAGTGAAGACCCTCTTGGGGGTGTCTGCCTGTCTCACTCACTGAAGAAATAAATAGGAAATGATTATTTTGGGAGAGATTTTTGTTGTAGGGCAAGTGTGCTCACCAAAGAGACAGAGAGATGGAGAGACAGCGAGTGAGAAATCACTCTCCCCCAGGGGGATGCCCAACCACAATTCCTTCTCCTCCATTCTCCTCTGCAGATTTTGGGCATGCACACACATGTGCCCAGCATGAATTTCAAGCTGCTGGATCCAAGACTAGAACCACAGTTAGTCATATATGGGAGTCCAGGGCCTTAACCATTATGCTACCTGCTGGCCCCAGCAAATATTTTTTTTAGAATTAAAGAAAAGAAATCTTGCCTAGGGCAGGAGCACCTACATGTGATGTCCTTCAGAATCTTTGGGCCAGGTGGGGTGGGTTGGGGTGAGGGGTATGCGGGGAGCTTGTTCCAAAGCAGATTTCCTGGCTCTCAACACCAGAGTTTCATGCAACAGAGCGGGATGCTGCATTTTGCACATGACCCCAGGACTGCACTGATGTAGGGGTCCTCTGGCACCACGTTTGAGAAGCACAGGTGTGGGGACTTATTCCCCAGGCCCCAAATGGGGTGTCCAAATGGTTAGCATGTCGCAAGGAACCAATGGGGGTGGGGAGTGTCCAAGAGCCAATCCCTGCTCTGTCCCCGTATGCTAAGGAGAGCCCCACACAGAGGCTGCCACCCACCTCTCTGGGTCCCACCCTGCCCCCCACAGGTACCCAGGAAGGATCACAGGAGGAGGGGCTCAGGGCACAGCAGGCAAAAGTCAATTGAGCATGGGATCAGACACTGACCTGAGGCCTCCCAGTCCTGTGCGTGTCCAGGGGTCCAGAATGGTGTCACATGGCCCCCTACAGCTCTGTGTTCCAAGCTCCAGCAAGCGGCAGAGCGGCTGCCGTTTTGCTAAGTTCCCTGTTTGAAAACAGGAAATAGGCTGCGCGACTTGCTTTTGATGGCCCCAGCCCATTGGCTGGGGAAAGAAAGCCTATCGAACAGCACTGGCTGAACCTGTGTCTCTCCCTCCACAGTCCAGCAGGCCAGGGGAGGGTGGGGCGGGGCAGGGCCGACCCTGAGCATCTGGCTTGGCCTCACTTACTCTCACCTTGCAGCACTCTGGCTGTCCTTTAGAGTCCTGGACCACCTTTAGCATTGACAGTAGCTCCCAAAGCCCTTTAACGTGCATTATGCTAATACATTATGATCAACGTGTGATGGGGATGGTCATGGTACCAGGTGGGTAAACTGAGGCTTGGAGCACATTGCTGGTGGGACGCAGAGCCAGTGCCTGATGTGGAAGGGAGGGGCGTGGACTCGTGGATGCTGCCTTTTCTCTGGACAAAGCTGCATCTAGCATTGCCGACAGAAAGTACCAGGGATATGAACCCCCGGGCTGTGATGTGGTGTGCGGTCATTGGTCTTTCTAGCTTTGATGGCAAGATGCTGAGACAGGACCAAAGGAAGAGCCTTATCAGCCCCCCCAGGAGTCTATGTATCTCTTCCCAGCCATGGGCCTCCCTCTTCCCATTAAAGGTCATCATGGTCCTGATTCTGATGGGAGCTACTTTTAAGCTATTCTTTATGAACTTCCTCCCATGGGACCTGGTGGTTAAAGAAGCCAGATTTCACTTGGCCAAGCATGGCTCACATCCCAGTCCTGGAAGCTTGAAAAACACCTTGAGCATGTGTGTGTGTGTGTCCCAAATCCCCACAGGATGGAGAAATAGAGAAGGGATTGTGGAATGAGCTCGCTTTAGTGAAACGTGCTTTCTCCCTCTCTCTCTGTCTCTGTCTCTCTCTAGCAAGCACATGCGCCTTCTGGCAAAAAACGAAAGATTAATTCCACCTAGGACTAGATCCCCCAAAATGTTCATTTCACTTGGTTTTGAATTTTATATACATTGAGCCAGTCACACAGTTTCTATTTTCTGGCATCTTGAATCTTGTGTTCAACATTTATTTATAGGGAACCGGCAGTTAGCGTAATGGCTATGTCGCTGGACTCCCATGTAGTTGACCACGGTTCGTGTCCCGGACCCAGTGGCTTAAAACTCACGCCGGGTGCGTGTGCGTGCGTGCCCAAGATCCCGAGAGGAGAATGGAGGAGAAGGGATTGCGGCGTGACCATCCCCCCTGGGGGGTGATTTCTTGCTTTCTGTCTCTATGTCTCTGTCTGTCTGGTGAGCGCACGCGCCCTATAGTGAAAACCTCTCCCCTCCCCCACCCCCCAAAAAAAGAGAAAAAAAAATTATATGTATAAGAGTTACATTTTTAAAAAGTTTTTTTTTCTTTTTCTGAGAGAGAGAGAGAGAGAGTGTGTCCCAACAAGGCCTTATTGTCACAACCCACCCCAGCCTCAGCCAGTTTGGATCATAGGCACATCTGTGCTTTGTGTGTTGAGGAAGGTCTGTGGACACGAACCTAGAACCTTTCTTTCCATGTGGGTCAGCCTCAAAGAATGTGCTGCTACCTCTTCACCACTGTCCGTCTTCCCAGATTTACATATTTGTGTGTGTGAGAAGCTGAAGTTCTTTTATTTCTATTGTTATATTGGTACCTTATTTGAATATATGACTGTCCTTTTGTTGATCTCTGAATAGACATTTGAGTATTTTTTCCAGGATACCCATGATGATCAAGGCTGCTGGTTATGTTCTTTTTTTTTTTTTTTAAGAATTTTTTTATTTAACTTTTTTTTTTTTTAATTTGACCAGAAAAGGATAGAGTGAGAGCGAGCAAGCAAGAGAGAGAGAGAGAGAGAAAACAAGGCGCCAGGTCTGGGACTGGAATCACACAGTTAGTTGGCCATGTGGGAGCCTAGTATCC